GAAATATTGTCATAGGCGATCTAACGTCAGCTGACAGATTTGAAGAAATACGTATTTAGTTAGCAATTTAGTGCACGTGTGGTCTGTTTATATTTTATTAGATAATTTATAAGGTCATTTAACCTTTTTTCTCGCAATTGAAATTCTATCGTATGGCTGAATGATGTACATACGAGACAAAATAGACTTATACAAGGTGTCTAATAGATATAAGTTAGATATGATAAAATATTTTATTTAAAAAATGTATGTATAATACTATATATCTAATTGGAAAAATATGTTATATGCTTTTCCTATTTTTATTCTTATGTAATTAATACAAAATAAATAAATAAGTTAATTAATTATTGAATACATACCCAAGTAACACAGTCTGGCTATATTTGCTGCGACAGCAAAAATGTAGTTAGTACAACGTTCTGCTAGCCTTAATTACAGCTATTTGACAGCAAATGTTATTTTGCTAAACTTTTAACTGCAAAAGCGCTGTGACAACTAATAAAAAAGTCAAAATGCAGCCACAGCTATTTTAACTGTATTAATAGCTGTAAAATCGCTGTGAGAGCTATCAGAAAAATCAAAATTAGCCGCAGCCGTTTTAACTGCATTAATTGGTATGAAGTCGCTGTGACAGCAATAATAAAAGCCAAAATCCAGCTACAGCTATTTTAGCTGTATTAATAGCTATAAAATTGCTGTGACAACTATCAAAAAAACCAAAATTAGCCGCAGCCATTTTAACTGCATTAATCGGTATGAAGTCGCTGTGACAGCAATAACAAAAGACAAAATTCAGCCATAGCTATTTCAGCTGTATTAATTGATACAAAGTCGTTGTAATAGCAATAACAAAAGTCAAAATTCAACCACAGCTATTTTAGCTGTATGAATAGTTGTAAAAGCATTATGACAACTATAAAGAAAAGTCAAAACCTCAGCCATTTTATTACTTTTGGGATTAAAAAGTGAATAGGTGACAAGTTTTTAAAATGAAAAGAAGACTATTGATCGACTTGCAAATGTTTAGAAAATTTGGGAAGTTTATTATGCACGTACACCGTAAATTGTTACCATGCATGCACATGGATAGAAGCTAAAATATAGCCAAAATAGCTGTAATCTGGCTGTAATTTGTATGTCACAGCAAAAGCAGAGT